TGGCTCTCTTATCTCTCTCCTTGCTTTTTCCTACATGTGTATAGTCCCATATGCGTATTTAGTTAGCAACCATGCCAGTCTTCAAGCGGTGTAGTCGTCTATAAATGATGAAAGTGCGGGGAATGGGACAATATGCCAAGTTCGTATGCGAAGAAATGGGGTTTGGCAAGTATATAATAGTTGACAATGGCACTCGGTGGCATTACCTAGAATGCTGAGCTACTGAGACATCCGCCTCAACGGTGTATGCCCCGGACCTGGTTTAAAATGTTGTCGACTGGCTTTCAGATCGTCTTTGGCCTTTCTTCATTGGTCCCATTGACCCGAGCTCAATTCCCACCAACGCCGGAGGGCGTCACCGTTCTTGAATCGAAGTTTAGCAATGGTGTCACGATTAGCTATAAGGAGGTGAGAAAATACTAATATTAACACATATATACGGGGCGACAGCCTTTATCTACTAGGTCTAACCTTTTCCAAGCCGGGTATCTGTGAGACGACGCCGGGTGTCAAATCCTACGCTGGCTACGTCAATCTTCCACCTGGCTCACTCGCGGACCTAGGGGAGGACCAAGATTACCCTATCAATACCTTCTTCTGGTTCTTCGAAGCGCGGAATGACCCCGAGAATGCACCATTATCTATATGGTTGAATGGAGGTCCTGGAAGTAGCTCGTTGTACGGGCTTTTCACCGAGAACGGTCCTTGCTACGTTAATTCCGACTCCAACTCAACTACACTGAGTCAATGGGCATGGAATACGGACGGTAAGCCGAACGAAAAAGCACACTGAATGGATCGGCCATTCTTGCAAGTAATATTGCTAATGTGCCCAAGTTAATATGTTGTTTCTTGACCAGCCAACTCAAGTAGGCTTCTCATATGATACATTGCAAAATATCACTCAGGATCTTGTCTCTGGAGATATCGTCAAGCTCAACGAGTCTGACCCAATCCCCGAGCAAAATACGACCCTCTTAGTCGGCACATACCCGAGTCAGGATAGGAACCAAACGGCCAAAGGCACCCGCAATGCCGCCATTGCTTTGTGGCACTTCGCACAGACCTGGTTCCAAGAGTTCCCGGGGTATCATCCTAATGATTCCAGAATCAGTCTAGCTACTGAATCGTATGGCGGTAGGTACGGCCCGGAATTCACTGCCTTTTTCGAGAGGCAGAACCAGAAGATCAAGAATGGCACTTGGAACAGTACAGACGGAGAGAACTATATCCTTAATCTCGACACGCTCATCCTCATCAACTCCTGTATCGACCGCCAAGTTCAATGGCCTGCTTACCCGCACATTGCCTACAACAATACGTACGGACTGGAAACCGTCAACGAAACTATCTACCTGCAGATGGTGGATGCCCTCGAGAAACCTGGCGGGTGCCGCGATCAAATTAATGATTGCCGCGCTCTAGCACTTGTGTATGACCCTGAGAACATTGGTATCAACGCCACCGTGAACGAAGTGTGTTCAGATGCGGAGACATTTTGCTCCAACGAAGTCAGGGGTCCATACCTTGACTATTCAGGTCGCAACTATTACGATTACGCATCCCTCGACCCCAACCCCTTCCCGGCTCCGTTTTTCGGTCTCTATCTCAATCAACCTCATGTCCAGAAAGCGATCGGCGTTCCTATAAACTACACTCAGTCTTCAAGCGCCGTAGCCTATGCTTTTAGGGCGATAGGCGACTATCCCCGGCCGGGATGGATCGAAGATCTCACATACCTGCTCGAAAGCGGAATAAAGGTCCACCTTATGTACGGCGATCGAGATTACGCGTGTAACTGGATCGGCGGCGAGGCCGTTAGCTTGGCCGTCAACTACACCGGCACTGAAAGGTTCCACGACGCGGGATACACAGATATCGTTATCAACGACACGTACATCGGGGGACAGGTCCGCCAGTACGGCAACTTTTCTTTCTCACGCGTATACGAGGCCGGGCACGAAGTCCCCGCTTACCAACCCGAGACGGCGTATAAGATGTTCCACCGTGCTCTGTTCAACAAAGATATCGCGACCGGCACTGTCGACCTCATCGACAACCCCGAGTACGTTACCGAGGGGCCCGCCGACACGTGGGCGATCAAGAATGTGGACCCGCCGGACTTGTTGCACTTCTGTTATGTGTACGACACATCTACGTGCACCGAGGAGCAGATCGAAAGCGTACTCAACGGCACGGCTGTTATCCTCAACGGCATCGTCAAGGACAAGAACTCGACGCAGCTGTTCCCGGAGATCTTCGGCCCTGCGTCTACTACGACCTCCGGATCCACGGCGGTTGCCAGTGAGAGCGCCTCGGCGACTGGGAGTAGTGCTGCCACTCGTATCGCGGGAGACGGAATTGGTGCACGGACTCTAGGGTTCTGGGCTGTGGCGATGGCATTGATACATGTTTCTTTGGCCTGGTTATGATAAATGACAGATAGATTTTAGATTATGAACAGCGATATTTGCTACTGGACATGATTGTGTCTCTTTTTAAATTAAAAAACAAGCACAAGTATGCGCCAACTTACAACGCTGAGGGTGGACAAGAAGAGCAAATTCCCCTCTGCCCCGCCCCCTTTTTTTTCTAGTAACTTGCTTCGTAACATCTAGTGATTCGCCAAATCTTAACGCAGATAGCTACCTCAAGTCACTTAATCTACTAAAATAATATCCTCATCGAGTCATGCTTCTATGAAGGGTATGTAAGGAATTTTCTTTTTTGGTTCATCTACTTCCCTCTTGTTTTGCTCCCACAGTCCTACATTTTAGATCCGCCCATGCTTAGTCTCACTTCAATAGACGGGAATAAGTCTATTCTTGATCGACGGTGCACTTGATAACATCTCAAGGACGGGTGATAGATAATATCTTTATAGGAACCGCGGCCGCATAAAAGAGAGATTTCTGTTGGCGCATCGGCTTTGGTTCGGATTCTATATCTTCTACTGTGAAGTGGCGAGAGGCTGCAAGAGTCAGAGTACTTTATCCGTATAACCAGATACACATATACGCGTAGACTTTCAAATACATACCGCACTCATCTTGGAATGTTCGAAACGTTTCAGCATTTCGGACAACGCCTGCTATGACGACCTTGAGCTTCGGTCTCATATCGAAGAGATTGCTAAGCGTCGATACAAGAGCCGATATAGCTATCTTCTCGTAGGTCTGCGGAATGTGTTAGACTTAAGTTTCCATCTTGAGACGATCGGACAGTGCGGGCTTACAATATCGGCGCCGATAACGATATCGTACGGGTGAGCAGCACAGTCGTCTTCGATCCACGTCCCTCCAAGATCACGGCCCCATGTTAAAGGTTTAGCCTGGACTTTCTGGTGGTTGTCGTCAAGTTCGTTCAACGCAAGGTTCTCATTTAATGTTTCAATGACCTTTTCATCGCCATCCGTGGTAGTAACGTGGTTCGCATGTAAATGCTTGGCCAAGAGAATAGTGAGAAATCCGGTGCCAGCGCCCAGCTCTAGCACATTCTTGTTGCGGACGAGACTTGAGCCAGTGTCGGTCAGCAGGTAAGAGCCTAGGTGAAGTGATCCCTCCCAAGTCCTAAATCCCGTTGTCCGCGAACCTGAGACTAAGTGCCGCCGCTCAAGTAGCGTTATCGTACATTCTGGCACATCACTATAGCCATCATTGAAACTGCCCTTTTCTGGAGTGCAGGTAAATGTCACATACGTCTTTTCCTGGGCTACCTGAAACTCGGATAGCACCCCTCTAGTAGTCAATGATGCGAGGTGCGTCATGAGCTCTTGTGAAATTTCCTGGGAAGATTTAGATGTGCCTTCGCTAATATGTTTAGAAGAATAAAAATAATAAAACGTACTCACACCGTCATTTGCTGTTTTCTTAACTCTAGATAGGAGCAGCTTTAAGACGCACATCTGATAACTCTCGGGTGGTAACCTCAGGTTCAGACTTTGGTCGAAAAGGTGTCTGTACAGCCATCTTTGTACATCTACACTCTTGAGGAACTTAAGTGGCGGCCAAGCTAGAAAGTCGGGTTCGAATAGCTGCATGTACTGCCGGCGCAGAAGGAGCAATTGAGGGTCTATGTCATGATCTGACATCTCTAGCACTTGGGGTTTTGAAGTTGCACTTGGTACGTTTGTGGATGGGCGATATTCCTCGTTTCGCCTTATTGCATAGGACGTAGTACAAAAAGTTACTTGATACTTGCATATAGCTATGTAGGTATAAACTTAGTGGCTATGAAGATATCCAGTGGAAGACACATAGGGTTAGGGTTAAGGTATCAATACGAGGCGCCCAACATTGTTCATCTAGGTACGTATGTAATAGACATGCGTTAACCTTGGAAGTTCACCTCATCATTTTCCACATATCCAAGGTAAGGCTATTTACGCAGCTCAGTCGGTATATTGGATTAAGTTGGGAGATGGAAACCTCTGGCTAATGTATTATGGGCTTTTGAACCTTGGTATATATTTAACTTTAGTCATACAGGTCAATGAGGAAAGACAGTTCTGTACGACTTACTTGATGGTATATTTATAATAATTAATCATGGTGACAATAAGTGAACTCGATATTGAATAGGAGAAGAACAGACTCATAGAATAGAGCCGGAAAAGATCATATCATTCTACCTAGGTACCTTCGTATAAACAGGTCTAGTTTAAGGGGGGGCATCGTCTTGGGATTATTACCACAACATCGTAACATCGGTATATGTTTCGACTGCGGAAGTCTTCTAGTATACATTGTAGTTTACTAATCACCCTCTTGCATACTTTAGTAGATGGTGTGTTAATACAAGGTGAAGTGACAGGATACTCCAGTCACGAAAATTGATAAGAGCGATATTTGATGACCCACGTATCATGCCAACTTAGGGCCGTCTAGGTAGCGCGAAGAGAATCTTTATGTAAAATCTTAAGAAGTGAAAATTTCCATCGCAGCTTCTCAGCTCCACCGCACCATGAAAACTAGCGCCTTCGAGAACGCGGCAGCTTAAATTCTCGATTCGTCTAGTGGTTAGGATACCTGCTTGTCATTATCTTGACGATAGAGTCGAATACGCAGGTGGCCGGGGTTCAATTCCCCGATCGGGAGGATTATATAATTTTTTTTCCTTCTCGTTCTTCTTCCGCCCCTTATTTATATACACGTGAAGTCGAAGAAAAGTTATTGTTGTAAGTATAAGTTGTTTTTCATGGTAGACCTTGAATATCCGTAACTAGGTAGGTAGGTACCTATGTATACATTTGACATAAACCCCCTTTCTTTACTTGGGTAAATAAACTGAACAACAATATGAAATGTTAATTGTTTTGGGAATTTGTATGGAATCTCTGGTGGAAGTACGTTATATTCATGGAATATTACCTGACACGTCATTTTCATATCCTTGATAATTGATGCTGGTAATTATTTCTCATAGGTAGGTTATTATTTGTAGATGTCCTATTTGGGCGTCGGCATGAAATGATATGTCACACTCGAATAGCCAATTTTGTAATGGAATGCAACACAATGGAGGGACTAAGTCCAAAAAGTCCACGGTTTTTTAGCCTGCATGTGGTGTCACCGCTCATGCCACCGGCAGTGACTAGCATCGACAGCTACGTAGAGGATTTGTTCGGAACTAGGTACTCCGAACATCTCAAGGCGGTCATATGCTATTGAACACCGATTAGGTAGGTTAGGAAGCCACCTCGGGTTGTCGCTAGACTCTGTAATTCTTAGCTGAGTTGCTCTATGTCGTAACAGCTACACCAATGTAAGTCACATTATAGCAGTGCCGACTACTCCACGAAGTTGCATCAGCCGTAGCAAGTCATGGCTCTAATAGTTCGGCCGTCCAGCATCACGGCTCTCAGTATCACCATAGTCGCTATATTAGCACCGATCCTCTACCGGTTCGCGTTCCCATATATTACATCTCTACCTCCGTACCTCGTTTCGCACTCCCCATTGATATCGAAGATCTTCGATCGGGATATTGAACACGCGTCCCCCTCATCATCCTCCCCAGCAACATCACCATCCTTTACTTGTCTCCCGCACACCTACACGACGGAGATCATATCGCTCGACCCGCTGCTGATCTACATCGACTCGTTCCTCGCGCCGGCCGAAGTCGCCGCCCTCCTCGAAGCCGGCGAGCTCGCGTTCGCGCCGTCGCAGGTGCACAAGCGCGGGCGCAGCCAGAACACGGCGGACCGCACGTCGTCGTCGGCGGGGCTGCCGCGCGACGCCGCTGCCGTGCGCTGCGTGTTGGCGCGCGCCGAGCGCTTCCTCGGCACGCTGCTGGACCCCGCGCGCGACGACGTCGGCCCGCCGCAGCTCGTGCGCTACACCGCCGGCCAGCGCTTCAACCGCCACCGCGACTGGTACGAGCGCCCGCAGCCCGTCCGCAGGGGCATGCTGGGCCGCGGCAAGACCTGGAACCGCGTCGCTAGCTTCTTCGCCATCCTGCAGGATCAGTGCGAGGGCGGCGAGACCTGGTTCCCGTTCGTGAATACCACTCTGCCCTCGAAGGCTGACGGGGAGGGCCGGCAGTTCTGGAAAACGCACGAGGATGGCGGTTTGGCGTTTAGACCTGTAGCCGGCAACGCGCTTTTCGTATGTAATGTCTTATTTATCTTCTCCTCCCTCCCCCATTTTCCTATCTTGAAAGTTAGGACTCCTAGACTCGGCTTATTTGAAGAGTTATCGCCATTGAAGCACGTCCGAGGTAGCTCGATTTTTCATACGAATAGGTCACCGCTAACTGTCGATGCTGCAGTGGGTTAATCTATTTGCGAACGGCACGGGTGATGATCGGACTACCCACGCTGGATTGCCGGTAGAAGGGGGTCTCAAGACAGCTATGAACATCTGGCCGCGCAAATTTTATGGTTAAGATATAGATTCGGACGAATTAGTCAGCCTCGTGCTGCAGACCTCAGTGGTTTTGGTTTTTTTTTTTGGTTTTTTTTAAAAAAAAAAAACGAGTCTATAGTGCTACCGTGATATTAATCGGGGTGGATTCGCTGCGCGTGCCTAAACAGAGGGTTAAGATGTCCCTTGTCGTATTGTAAAAAGTACCAGTTTTTGGCTATGTAGAGTTGTCCGGGTCTACGGGGCGTACATGTTTTTGACTCATATCCGATACCACGTCTAAACCTCCAATCGTATTATCTAAGCTTGGACGATAATGTGGACGTCTGTGACGGTAGCCCGTGCCATTTTCTTCAGAAGCGTCCTTTCGTCGGCTTCGCGATACCTTTCCCAGCCGTCGAGTCCTTCCTTAGCCTGAATACTCAATGTCTCGTAGCCCTGCTTTATCACTTCCGCTACCTCGGTGCTAGTAAGGTTTCTTTTAGAGCCGCCAGACTCAAGCATAGTCTTGTAGTGCGCGCTCACGCTGACGAGCGTACCTATTGAATTTGACGGCCGGCTTGTGAGGCCGTATGTGTCGCGGAACTTTACCAAGACCTCGCCGCTCTCTACAACTTTGTAGAATAGATCATCGTAGGCGGCTGGAGTGGGAAGAAATGCCTCACCGGCGGAGAGGGAGAGAGCCAAGAGGTTCACGACAAGATCCAGCAGGGAATCGAAGTGTGATAGACCCTTAAGATCAGCGGCGTAGGTTGTGAGGAAGCGGATAAGGGACAAGAGTGAGCGGAACAGCTCGGACCAATGGTAGTGCAATCGAGTTCTTGATCGCGAGAGGTACGATATGATACGGAGCATAATACCGACGCATAGAGTGTACAAACTAACATCTAGCCTGCGGCGCAGGTTATGGTTGATGCCGTCAATCATGGTGTCTAGCACACTGGTTGCTAAGATGCGATCCCCTCGTACGGCCGGGAGGAAAGGTTGCCGCTGACGGCAGAGTCTGACGGCGACCTTGCTCTCGTCACTACACAATCGCTTACATAGAAGCTGGTCCTCGATAAGCAACCGAAAAACCATCAGGCTGAGATGTGCGTAATTAGTGGCTCGGGCAGAGAGGAAAGCATGTTGGAGGAGGTAAGAGGTCAACGATAAGAAACTGGAGATAGGTTGCTCTTCGCCCTTCTCAGCTGGCAGTGAGACGAGATTAAAGCAGAAGAGCTTGTTGGCGTGGCTGAAATCGTATGTTCCTAACAGTACGGCAGCATCCTCACCCGGCCTAGCTGGATTAGTCATAGATAGGAGGTGAACAGGAGGATGAGGATAGCTTACAGTTTTGCAAACATCTGCTTTGCTTCTTCCGGGTCGTATGTCGGTTTCTGGTTCGACTTTGGGCCGGGGGCAATGGCTCCAAGCCCAATCATGTTCAGAGTGTTGGCGATGGTCCATCCTTCAGGTAAGTCTTGTAGGATATCGATATATTGAGTTCTCAAACTTCGGCAAGTTTGTCCAACACATCTAACTATCTTCTGTATGGTCGCCTCGTTAACGAAATCATTTAGGCGTAGTTGATAAGGGTTCTGGAACTCGAATTTGTTGTAGTTTGCTAGTAAGCCTAACAACATAAACGGTTCCAGTGCCCTATGCGGCGAATCCGATTCTTGGATGAACTAAATCGCGTCAGCCACATATTTGAGTGGGAATATTGAAGAAGCCAACCTTCATGATGGCGGGGAAAAGATCTCGTTGTATGAAATATGTCAGGAGACTTGTCTGGTACGCGCCCGAGGTAATAGACAAGACAACCTCGACGGCTTTCTGTCGAACCTCCACTACGCCGTTCGTTAGCCCCTTTACCAATCCTACAAGCATACCTACCTAGGTAGATACGGTAGATACGGTAGATATGGTAGATATGGTAGATACCTAGGTAGGTACATGGGTATTTTGAACGCCAACATACTTGATTTACCATTGCGGATTATCCCGTCTATGGCGCCTACAAAATCAGTGAAGACGGCATCAACCTGATCTAGTCCTGCCAGCACAGCTATTATATCCGAGCTCGGATTCGTGTACTTCTTAGGGAGAACGGCGGAGAAGAAAGTTGTAAGGGTCTTTATACGTATAAAAAATTATAGTTAGAAATATAGACCCTATATAGTAATTCTAGAGCTAGGCGTCGGTTGTTACCTCGAGGGCGTGCAAGTCGGCGACGCCATTGCCCTTCTTTAAGCATTCTACGGCTCGAAAGAAGAGTTGTTGGGTTTGCACCTGTAGGTTTATTAAGTCGTCGGGACCTAGGCGGGCGAGTATTCTCTGCAAAGAGAGTCGATCGGGTTTTAGAAGGAAGAATTCTGTCCAGAAACCATCAGGCTTATCGGCGTCTGGATCAACGTCGTCCTGCTCGGATGATATCGACAGTCAGCGACCCAACGCAATAGCTGCTGGTGTCACTATCTAGCAAGGGCCGACATACCTTTGGATCCCATTTGTCAGCTATTTGGCCAGTCCTAAGATTATAGAGGAAACCGATGCTCCCGAACCTTGAAAAGCGCCTCGTATAGTTGGACCACCTTTGGCTGGAAGGATTCAGGTCGAGCCTGTTGGGTCAAAGGAGAGGCAGAGGGATCCATGGCCAACTACGGTGAGGCACGCAACCAGCCTATGTGATTATTCTATTTCTGATATAGGTAAAGTACCATTTTTTTAAGTAAAGAGGGGGAATAAATGATATGGCGATGTATTGATTCTCGACGATCACGGAATATGGGATAGGATATGGGATATGATATGGGATATGGGATATGGGATACATACGTATGTATGCAGGTACTATGATAAGATAATCTGACACGCGAAGCGCATCACGAATAATAAATGCCCAATTAATTGAATGCGATTTATGTACCTAGGTATCTTTGATAGGTTATATAACAATATCTTCATTTCAAAAATAAATATCTTAATAGACAATTTACATAAATCAATTAGCTAGGTATTAAGGTTATGTGAGTTGATCACAACTAGCTTACTGCTTACCTAAGATAATACTCGCAAGACTGGGCATTGGACGGTGGATTAACCGGAACAAATCATATTCCGCAAAGTCCCTGAGTCCATTCACCCGACAGCATGGTTGACCAATTAGAACCCTTTGATTGGCTCGTGCGGAACCGGATGTCCCCCCAATCGACCGATGTCATCAGATGACGATTTCGGTACCTTTT